TCAGGAGAGGCCTCACCAGGAGCAGGATCACCTCCCCTGACCTGCTGGCAACCTTCTTCCTAATGCACCCCAGGACATCATTGGCCTTCTTGGCCACCAGGGCACATTGCTGGCTCATGGTTAATTTGTTGTTCACCAGGACTCCCAGGTCCCTTTCCGCAGAGCTGCTCTCCAGCAGGTCAGCCCCCAGCCTGTACTGGTGCCTGAGGTTATTCTCCCCTAGGTGCAGGACCCTGCACTTGCCCTTGTTGAACTTCACGAGGTTCCTCTCGGCCCAGCTCTCTGGCCTGTCCGGGTCTCTCTGTATGGCAGCACAGCCCTCTGGTGTACCACACCTCACAGTTATGTGTCATCACCAAACATGCTGAGGGTTCACTCTGTGCCTTCATCCAGGCCACTGACGAGTAAATTGAACAGGTCTGGACCCAATACTGTACTGCTCGGGGACACTGCTAGCTATAGGCCTCCAGCCAGACTGCGCCGCGGATCACAGCCCTCTGAGCTCTGCCATCCAGACGGTTCTCAATGCACCTCACTGCCCACTCTCCTAACACACAATTTCTGAGCTTACCTGTGAGGATGTTGTGGGAGACACTGTCAAAAGCCTTGCTGAAGTCAAGGCAGACAACAGCCACCGCTCTCCCCTCATGTACCCAGCCAGTCATTCTGTCATAGAAGGATCTCAGATGGGTTGTGCACGCCACACTGTCCATGATTACTTGCCTGCTTTTTGCATTTGTGGGCCTCTGTTTAGAAGGGTTGATAAATTCACCTTACTTCCATCTGCTGAGTAGGAAAGATAGTAAAAGGAAAGAAAGTAAATAAAGTAAGAAAGTAGGAAAGAAAGCAAAAGATCCTTCTCGGATATACCTACCAACAATGGGAATTTACTGGTACAATTTGACAATCTTTGGCATAGGCAAATGGCACTTGCATTGTGTAGGCTGGCTGGTCTGCAACCTCAGAGCCCCTGAACATGCTGTATAGCTTGGCTCATGGCCACTGCAACCTGTGCTCTGATGCTGTGGGCATCCTGTCTTGATGTTTTGCCTGTCTCTGTGCAGGATTTGGGTTCTGGTGAATTGATTTCATTTGTTGCAGTTCATACCCCAGCTTGGTCATTTGACCACTGGCAATTTGATTCCGTTCCAACAGTTCTGTGCATCCAGCATTTAGACTTGCATCCTGCTAGTAAAGGTTGGGGACTTTTCCTTTCAGCTGCTCCTACAAATAAATAGCATTATCATGGGGAAGTATGAGCACGTTTGAAAAAAAAAAACAAAAAACAAAAAACAAAAAACACCTTTAATCAAGCTGAAATGCAGTCAGGACTTTCACACAGCAGGGTCTACTTCCACTGGAGCTGAAGACAGCTTTATCCAGTGAAAAGCCTCCTCATTTCACCCCCATTTCTCTGTCTTCAGTAGCATATTCAGTCATCACACCTGCGGAGTGGTGGGAGGAAAGAAGTAAGGCCTACCTGAGAACTGATCTATTTTTATGACTTTAGTAGCTATAGAGCTTTGAAAAGTTTAGGAATATTTACATTGGCACCTTCTATAAGGTTGGAAAAATCTTGTCAACTCAAGCCTGTCAGAGCCATGGCATTATCTGAATGCGAGTTGTCCCCTTTATCAGTCATCCCGGGGGCTGCAACAACACCTTTTGAAGAATCAGCAATCTCACATACACTGATTATGCCAGAGGGTTGAAACAGGTTTCTAATTAAAAAGTTGTACTGAAACACAGAGAAAAAGGGAGCAGTTCTGGATACTAGGACATCATTAGGCTTTGATCCATGACACAGGAGTTGTTTGATGCATACTAGGAAAAGTAGTGAGCCTTTAGTACTTTTGCCACACAGAGGCCTAGGCTGCTTCTGAAACAGGCCCCCAATTTCAGTTCAATTTGTCTTGGAAATAAATGGTTGTGAACTAGTCAGCAGTTACCTGGAAATACTGGACTGTAAATGCTAGTGATATGGGAGCTGTTTTACACACCGATCAGCTTTCCATGGAGAAGATATAGGACAGTCAGCTGAAGAAAGTTATCTTTTAAACCCTCCCATCAGTAAGTTGTCCTTACAGAAGCCATCTTTAGCCTGCACACATTTGGTGTTTCAGTTTCCTTGTTTCAGTTAGTACTGGGATTTTTATTTTTTTTCTGCAAAAAACAATACAGTCAGTAAAACTGTTTTGTGAATAGTTTTTTCTTAGGTCTGGTAACTATTGGGCTGAATTGGCTTAGTAAATTTGCTCTCCTCCCCTCTCCATCAGAATAACTTAACCACATTTGTTTTGCTCTGCCAGGGAGTGGGAATACGCAACATCCTAGCTGGGGGTTGGCAGTTTAGATTCCTGTCTCAGTCACATGGAGATTATCTGATCCATACGGCTGGAGAGAGCAGGTATGTCCCAGCACAGGAACATGCCCAGCAGAAGTGCTGAGAGGATAGTGGAGTGCTCTGTGCACCTCTGTGCTGACACAGCTCTCTGGTGTTTATCTGAATCAAAATGTGTTCAAAAGCAGGTAACTGGCTGCACAGCAGAAAGTAGCCTCGAAGGTCATTTCACATGTAATTATGGGCTTTCTGAGGCCTGGCAAAGCCTTATGAAACATAAGAAACATTCTTCAAGTGCAAACATGGCTATGATCACGAGGAGTGATGTCACCTAATGCTTTAGGGAATCTAGACCTTTGTCTAGTTATCATCTAGTTATCTAAAAAATGTGTATCTCCATTCCAAATTATACCAACTTTGATTTTTTTTACAGGGCAGAAGGGATTTCAAGAGTTTATAATTCAGCCAGCATGAATGTTGTAGCATCCTCATCTGTCTGCTTCTTTGCTTTCAACAACTTAGTGAACTCTAAAGCTCTTATATATATATATATATATATATATTTGTTTGTTTGTTTGTTTTTGTTTGTTTGTTTATTTTTAAGAACTGCACTTATGCTTGTTCCTTGAGATTTAATTCGGGTCATATTATGAGTAATTGTGGAGAAGAAGAGAAGTTAACCATGGAAGTTAGTCCTCTGGCTTTTACATCTTACCTCAGTGTTTGTCTCCTTGACGTACGTATAGCAACCTGGATCTCTCATGGTTCATTCCAGATATGTAGGCTGGTCTCCTGTTCATGTGCAAATCAATTTCATTGATGTAGCATTAATACATATGTGCCCAATTTATCAGGAGAGTTTACTCTGAAAAACTTAGATGTAACAAAGCCAATATATAGTCACTATTAGAATCCTGCTGTATACCTCCAAGGTAAACACATAGGCTGGTTAATGTGAATGTCCACAAAAAACATTTATATTACTTTTACTCTGATACCATGTTAGGATTACAATGGGAACTGACAAAATGATCAGCCTTTCTCTCCATTTATCTGTTTGCCAGTGCAGAACAGCAATATCACTAGCGTTTTTCATAATCTACCTATACAAAATATGAGGCAGTGGTGGAGTAACAGTAAAGAAATAATGCCAAATAATTTAATGTATCATTATGGGAATCTGTCTTGAATGACTAGCCAGTAAAATAGAGTGGAAGCTATAACCTGAAATTTTGCCTGTGTCAGAAATAAATGAATAAACAAGACTACTTTTTCATGAGCAGAAGGGCACCTTCAATGCCAAGAGAAATGTCAGGTTGTTCACTGGACAAATATTTTACTGTCTATCAAAAACGAACCAAGTCTTTATGGAAAATGAATCTTCCAAGGTATACTTTCTACCTCTCAGCCACATTATTTGCTCCCATATATGTGAGCTCGTGCATATGAGCACACACCTGTGTATGCTTTGGACTGTCTAATTTATATGAGTTTCTTTATGTCTTAGATAATAACAAGAGAGCCGGTTTATTCTATTTTTTCATATTTTGGTGTCTTCATGTGTTATATAATGTTCTTGTGCCAGTATATGGGGAGAGTTAACCTGAAAGGAGTTCTTATTCATAATAAAGTGTGTGTGACCTTTTTCTGGTGCCCTTACTCTGTGGTTCTCATGAGTCTAACAGCCAGAATTTAATCACAAGATTTTCCATAAAGACAGGAAAATTACAAAGATCTTTGCTTAGCTGGGTAGAGTTAAGCTCAATCATTTTAGCTGATTCCTGCTAGACACACCAGGCCTTAGCCTTGAATTAAATTATCTCGATGGCATAAGTCTAGTCTGAAAAGAAATTATTAGAAGGAATATATTAACATACTCCCCATGCAGTGGTGTGATCTTTTAATTCTGTTATTTCTGAGCCCCATAAAGCCAAAATTACAGATAGAATATATTTTGGACATATATGATGTAAATACAAATCTATGCCAGATGTCTGATATATTTGCATAGAAATCCAAGCTAATTTTAAAATAGAGGGAGAATGTATCATTTACGATGTCTTAGTGTCACTTCCTATTTTGCCACAAGCTCCTGCTGGTGTTATTGCTAATAACAGTCTCTTAAAACACACCTTCTATAACTAAGAAGCCATGCCTTAAAGCATAGTCCTCTCAGAAACTCTCTTTGGACTCTGCAGCTGACCACAGTGAGCAACACAGACCTTGTAAACCAAAGGGTATGCTCTCAGCTTCCTTATTTGAAAGTGTGCTGTAGTTCTGGAGAACCAAAGAAGGAAGAGTTCATTTAAAAAGTCCATCTGTGGAGTGCCATATAGTGTAAGGGCTTTACAAACATTTGATAAAGGCTGTGTATAAATCGTTCTTGAAGGAAATGCAGCAGTAATATCTAAAAAAAAAAATAAAAATGGTCACAAATGTGATCTTCTCGTTCCTTTCATGATAGGAACTTCCATGCCTTTTTATTTCAAATTCAGAATGGAACATATCTTGTGCTGCAGGTTATTCCCTCCGACACATTACTTCCAAAACTGTGTGGGCTCTCAGTGACATGTCACACACTCTCATCTCCAACACCTAGGCAAGGTGGCCTGAGTGACTTCATCCATACATTGTTCCCACAACAAACAATCACCTGTGATTTCATTGCAAAGTGCACTTTATTCATTAATTAACTGTCTGTCCCTTCATTGAGTAAATGCTATTTGCAGCAATGAAAATAATACAAGCCCTTAGCCAAACATTTTGGCCATCTGACTTCCACTTACCTGCAATGTTATTCATTCTCAACAACTCACACAGGTAGCTGGAGTAGGTGAGGGCACTCAGAATACTCATTGCTATGCAAAGCATGCTGAGCAGCAATGGTCATCACCAGTTTAGTAATTATTCCTCCATTTTGTCATTTCAATATGCCTCTGGTGTTGCACAGAAAGCTCTGCTTCTCAATGATATTTATGGGTATTCTCACCTGTTTGCAGTTATTGTGTAGCTCTGATTAATACTTCCTTCTCTCTGACACAGAAGGAGCTGCATTCTAATAGTCTTTATTATTTTCCATCAGATTCCATACTCCTGCATAAATATATATGTATATATGTAAATCAAGTAAGTAGTGTTGGAGGTCCATAAAATGTGAGACCATGAATATGTCATCACTCTACATTTTATTTTCCCATCTCCTCTGAATCTCCCAAATGTTGTTAGTTTATTTATGGCTGTATTGTTCATATGGGATACCTTATTATGAAGAGGTAATCTGGCCCAGACCTCAAGGTCCATTTTCATGGTTTAGATTGTATTTGAAACAATTATTTTAGCTTCTCTCTTCGGATGCTAGCTCATATCCTTCTGTCAGTCCCTGCAATAAGCTTAGAGCATGCAATGAGTATTGCTGATTGTGTTGATTCCCACCTATAGCAAAATCATTATACTTGTTTTCACTCCTCCTATGTATTAAAATTTTAAGGCTTCAAAGAAGGCCTTGGCAATGAAAATCACATTGTACAATGGATTTCAATCCAACAGTATATGAATGATTTGTATGAATCAACTTGCCTTGCAAAAAGATGCAGCAGTTATCACCCAGGACATTTTTCCTTTATAATGAAATTTTGATCAACTAATGGCCAGAGAGTCTCAGTCTCCCTTTAATGAAAAGTTACAGACAAATGCTAAGTTGGCCTTCTGAACCTGTACCACAGAATTCAGTCGATAAAAGCACAACTCTTGGTTCAGCTTACAAAAATAATGACAATTATATCTGTGCATTTTGGAAATGAAATAATTTTCCTCTCATTCTATGGTCCTCATTTTAATGACAGCGTATGGGATATGTAATTTCTGGCTGTAACCCCTTCTTCATAGGCTGAAGGAAATAATCCAAATCAATTTTAACAGCTTTGTGACACTTCCATGACTAAAGCACTGCTTTCAATACTATACTAAGGCAGTATGTACTCAAATGTAGTAACTCAGCTTCTTTAAAAGGTTTTACATAATAAACATGTTTATTATGATTTATCTGAGAGAGGGAAAGTGATCTTTGTCCATTTCCAGTATGAGCTCACTCTCTCTGAGTGGTGTGTGAGTGTGTTTGAACTGTGTGTTGACACAGCATCAGTTTGGTGTTCTGTTGTTCTGCACATGAAATCCTTACCCAAGTCCCCATGTCTTGCACAGATTAAAATATTAAATAAATAAATAAAAAGTGTTGTGTTTTTTTTTTTTTGTTTTGTTTTGTTTTGTTTTGTTTTAGTTCTTTATCAAGTGTTGATGGAGAGAAGAATGATGGGAACAATTAAACCAGACAGAAGGTAGTTCTACAAGGTCGCTCTCTGAGAGGTAGATAGAGCCATGACAAAGCATTCTGAGTGATTGTGCAAAGCCCATTATTGTGATAGTCCAGACAAATATCACCACTTACATCTAACATTTGAAAAGTCAGGCCAGACGAAATAATCAATTAATAAGGCCATGAACACAACAGTAGAAAAAAAGATATAATACAATGATGACAGAGCCAATGCAGGTGGTAGAAAATGGAGCTGGAATTGAAACAGAAAGAAAACTTATCATAGTTTGCCCATGTGGGGAAAAAAGGCTCATCCTTCTGATTACCATAAATAGGTGTATTTTCTGAGTTCTTTGTTGGTAATGGTAATACAACTTAGACTGTTACCTTCAAACATTTTGAACTTTCATTTATTATCTTTACTGTAACCTGCATTTTAGGAATAAACAACTGAAGCACAAACAATGTATTATAAAAACTAAACCTAAAATGTAAATCTAAATGTAAATGTACTAAATGCATCTAAATCTACATGTACTAAATCACTATAAATATTGGTAATAATATTCAGCACATATCTATATTCTCCTTCCTCATTGTGGATGTGGTATAGAGTTAATACAGCATATTCTGTATGAACTGCTGTAATACTCAAAGCAACCGCACCATAGATTCTCAAGCATGTGTGCTGATAGAAAATCTAGCATCACATAGTTCATTTATCAGAACATGTCACCTTGTGGGTGGTGTAAATACAGAAGTAATTGTGACAAAGGCACTTGTCACACTGTCAGAGTCATGTCTGATCCAACATGCTACATTTTTAAATTTTAAGAGGTATAAGGTAATGACAGGACACTCTCTGTAATGGGTAATAATAGAAAGGAGATCATCAGAAAAAAATTATATTATTACCATAAAAAACAAAAAGTATCTTATTATTCATAGCGTGTATTCCAATGCTGTCTTGACATTTTACACTGCATGATGCCGTAATGACTAAGGTTGAAGAACCAGTGATTAAATTAAAAACCACAAGGCAACAGCCAGGTAATGTCCTGATCCAGAGGATGGGAGGACATAGCACAGATGGAGGCAGTTGGGAAGGGCATGCCCATGAGGCAGCCCCCATTCTTGGCCCACCCTGGAATTAAAAACAGGCTGGACAGCAGACTTGGGCAGCTGGCTCCCAGTACCCATTCTCTTTCCAGGAACAATGCCATTCGTCAGCCTGGCAAAAACTCAGACTCCAAGACACCCACACTGTTGTCTAAATGATTAAAGCTTTGTGCAGCATTATGTGCACTGGTCTGCAGTATGAACATGTTCCATCCTTCCAGGTCATGTAAAGGAAACAGCCTCACCCAGGCTAAAGCTTGGTGCAAGCTCATTTTGTTGTTGTTTGAGAATTGTAGAGGTTAGTCTAAATTGGCACCTTAGCACTAACTTATAAATAAAACACAGTTACTGAGCGTGTCTGGGCAAAAAAGTACAATGAAGTCTATGCCTAATTCATAGCATGGATGTATCATAACTCAAAGTGCATGATGCTACACCCTTCCCAGTGCCAGCTTCAGAGCCTGAAGCCAGTTTTTCTTCAGTTACACCTCAAGCAATGATGGCAACAAGTGTTCTTCATCTTGTTCTTCCAGTATTTCTTAACTTGTGTGGAGGAAAAAGCACCTCATTTTAGTTGTGCAGTGTTCACAAGTATGTAACATTATTTGGAAGCCTTGAAGAAGTCTGACATAAATTAACTCACTTGCCTCGTAATTCAAATTCTTCCAGTGGACTGTCTTATGTTACTCAGGCTAACCTTGCCCATCAACATTGACTGAAACACAGGAAACATTTGTGTTGTGATTCTCCACATCTCTTTCCTGCCCAATGCTTAACAAAAATCAATCAACCAATCAATCAATCAGTCAGTCAGTCAGTCTCCTGGAAAGACAAGTCCTCTTCTGTCATAGCACTTATAATCATAGCAAGGAGCAAAATATCATTTTTGAGATGACATCCTTAGACCTCTTGCCTTCTCAGTTTCTATTGCATCATCAGCTTTCTTCACAGCTGTTAGAATTAGATATAGTGACCTCAGCTCAAACAAGCACATGCTTTAGTTTTTTTTTCACTGAGTGCTGGGGGATTTAAGAACATACTTACAGTTAAACACATGCTTGTCTTCATTAGGTAAAAAAACAAAAAACAAAAAACAAAACAAAAAAGAAAAACAAACAAACAAAAACAACAACAACAACAAAAAACAGACTTCCAGTTTTTCTTTCAATGGAGAGGATTTGAAGCTGTTCTTCTGAGTTTTTATATCAGCATGGATTTTATAGACTTGCAGGCCACAGTGACATGGAAATCTATTGAGAGGGCAGTCAGGCACTGGAGCAGGTTCTCCAGAGAAGTGGTCACAGCACTAAGCCTGCTGGAGTTCAAGGAGTGCTTGGACAATGCTCAGAAATGTGGTTTGATTTGTAGGTGGTCTTGTGGGGAGCCAGGATTTGGACTCAATTAACCTTGCAGGCCCCTTCCAACTTGGGATATTCTGTGATTCTGTGATTCTGTGATTCTGTAATAAAATGAGACTGAAGTTGAAAACTCTGTCACCATCTCCATCTCTTAAGAACTGGAGCAGAGTGAACCCAAGTTCCTCAGCCGAACTCAACTGACAAAGAAAGGCACAGAAGGAGATGAATCTTTCAGGTAAGAGAGTGGTTTCTTGTGCACCACCAAGGGATGCAGAGGTGGAAAAAGAGAAGCTGTGACACTGTACAAGCATTGCTCAGCTACGCCAGAACACTGGCATGTTATCAGCACTGTTTAAGTTACAAATCCAAAACACAGCACGGTCTGGAAGAAAATTAACTCCACCCCAGTGAGACACAGTACGGTATGTTTTCCTGTATTTAATCTTTAGCAGATATGAGACTTCACCGTGTGGTTGGATTGTGCAGAGTGCTGCTGAACTGACTTCAGGAAAAGCATACCAGAGCAGCTTCTTATTACAGGACCTTGGGGTGTCAACAGCACATAAATGGTATTTCCTTAAACAGCTTTTTGTGAGCATTGAACTTCCCTCCAAAAATGATTTTCCCCCAAATAGTCAAATATTTTGAGTATTTGATAATCAAAATGATAGCTGTTACAGTTTTCCCCATATTTTTCTCTTACAAGAAATGCAACCCTCCCATGAGACATGAAAATCACACATGGACAATATATTTTATTTCTTTTTTTTAAAGCGGGAAAGAGCACAAGGGATTTGAAACAAGCAAGCAAAGTGCTGTTAGCAATCCTCATCCCTCTTGACAGATGCCCTGTCAAGGTCAGTACAGTTTAAAGGCTGTCTCATCAGTCAACACCATCAACTACTGAAAGACAAGGAAGACAAGCCAAGGACTGGAGGGATTCAATGCTGCTGCCTCTCTTCACAGCAATCTCCAGATGATCTGCGGAATCTCTGCACCTGTTCAATGTTCTCTGCTTGCAAGAGCTTTATAACACAAAACTTTGATCCTCAAAAAGTACACAGCACACATTTCAATTCCATTATTGCATGGGTTTTAAACACACACCTAATGTGCTACCCTGAAAATGGATACCTACATGAATTATGTTCATGTAATGCTCTAATGCTTTTGTGGGCTAACCCCAGTATGCCGCTAAGCACCACACAGCTGCTCACTCAGTCTTCCTCCCAAACCCCAGAAGGACAGGGGAAAAGGAAAATTAAAGTGAGAAAACGCATGAATTGAGATAAAAATAGTTTAACAGCTGAAGAAGAAGAAAGGGAACAAAGAAAGAAAACCAAAATCATGCAAAGGCAATTGCTCACCATCTTCCATGTGTAGACCAATGTCTCACCGGATCCCAAGCAACAGATGGGAACATACCTAAGCCCCCTCCCTTCCATTCTCTTGCTGAGCATGACATTTTATAGCACAGAATATCTCTTTGGTTTGTTTGGGTCATTTGCCTGGTTGTGTACCTTCCAAACTCATGTATGCCCACAATGTATTCACTTGGGAAGCAGAGCAAGAAACAGAAGGCACTGTGTAAATACCGTTCAGCAGTAGCTAAAACATTGTTTTGTTATCACCATTGTTTTGGTCAGAAATCTAAACCACAGCACTACACCAGCTGCTGTGAAGAAACTTATCTCTATTCCAGCCAGAACCAGTAAAAAGACTTTATATCAGTAGCTGCCCACTAGCAGATAATCCTAACTCCGATTTATCTGGCAAATGCATGAGTCCTTTCAGTGTGTCCTTTGATAGTCCCACGCTTTCCACTGTTATCATCAAGTTATATTTTCAAAATAAAGAGTAATGCCTCTTCTCTTTCTGTGTAGTGACTGTAAGACACTCTTGCTTTCCTGGACAGAACATTCTAATGAAAGCTTTTTTAAAGAAAGTAGGATTTTACCTGTGTGGAGACATTTCCAACGTTCACATCTTAATAAAACAGTTAAAATTAAATAGATTTCCTGTCTTCAGCTCACTTATCATAGACATGACAAGTAGGTTTAACTTGTGCCGTTAAGTTCTACCCAATAGCCCCTCTTGAAGTAATTTGCACTTGATGGGAATTATTTCAGAGAAACTGAAATAATAATGTCAGTGGAGGTGACAGTGGGACAAGCTTCTCTGAAGTCACTGGAATTGCAGTTGCCCACATCAGGCTTAGTGAACCCCCTAATTTTTATCAGAATTTGCAAAGCTTCAGTAGCTCCAGGCAGCTGGGTGTTTTTGGGGGTTTTGTGTAGCTCTGTTTATAAAGTGAGAGTTGCTATGGCATCTGAGCACCACTGGAAAGGCAGAGTGTTGCTGCAGGCCCACAAACAGCATCCAGCCTAGCTGAGCTCTAAAAAGTGCTGCCATGCCAGGCCTGTTCTACAGCATGCATGCACTGGCCTGGAAGCAAGCTGCATTAATTTGAACTTGTTTACTCTGGGTGCTGTGATTTTGAACTTTCAGAGACTGCCAAAAAAACAAGAAGCCCAGTGCCCAGTTTCTTCTTTGCTGGGCAAATGCTGTCGCAAAACCAAACCAAACGAAAAGAAGTGGCTATTATCTGGACCACAAGCTGCACTTAAGAATGAAAATGATGACAGCCACTCTCTATGTTAAATAGTGCTAGTCCCAGTAGTGACCCCTGAGGAATAACCCCTGAGGACTGCATGCTCTCACTCAGTTTCTAGGTGCCCACATTATTTCACATTAACAGAATTAGCTATTCTGTCCCGACTGCCAACCTGCAAAGCCAGGGCAATACCTGCTTTTTAAATAGAAATTACAAGGAAAAATTAAACAAACAAACTAGTTGGTATAATATTTATCCCAATCAGTGAGTGAGATTTCACTACTGAACAAAATCTATATTATGCCTGAAGATTCACAAAAGTTAATGATATACCTGTTTGGCATATAAAACAAGGTATAGCATGGAGAGTCATAATTCATCAAAATTAGAGAGACATTGTAAATTGGATATATTTTTTAGAAGGAAAGTTCACAAAAGAAAAAAATGAATGGTACCTGAAGTAAATGCTCACTTTTCAACATTGCAAGAAGAATAATCTCTTGTAAATCTGAGGGCTATGGAAAACTCATCCCAGGAGTGATGAAGAGATTCTAGACAAGGAGAAATGGCTGTGTCTCAACTAAATTCAGCTATCATATTTTAATTAACCCAACCCTAAGAGCATATTTTCCCTGTTGAAATCCAAGCTACCACATCTTCTTTTATTTTCATGGAGTACAGACTGATCTTTAGAGAAAGCATAACAAGTCCAGTACCTGAATCACTTTTCCTTTCAAAACCCTTAGCCACTTTGTGTAACATCTCTGAGATCAGCATCTACAAGGATTGTTTTTCTCTGCTGAGGAGGCACTTCAGCATGATGCATGCCCAATTTATGGCACTTGTAGACCTGCCAGTATTTTACCTTAGAGCTTGTTTGTACACGCATCTTCCTCCAAGCACCACCCAGTCTGTCTGAAACAATGGAAATAAGAAGACAGTCTGCTTGTTTTTATCTACAGTTTGCCAGCTCAATTTAAATCACTCTGCAGGAGAAACCTTAAACCGGTCACTCAGAATAGGAACATATCAACTCTGGTCAGCTTTGAATTTGCTCCCAGAGCTTGTCAAGAAATTGTGTTTCTAAGCCCACATATCTCTCTGGTGGCTGAAAAAGGTGAAATGAGCCATTTGAAAGATTTGTCACTATCTACAAATGGATCACTTGTGGAAATATTTTAAATAATGTAAGTGAAGCTATAAAAACCCTGTTTAGCCAAGCAGCTGCAAGTAGCTTAAGGGTTATTACCACTGGGAAGTGATGGCAAAGATACACCATTTTTAAAAACAGTTTTTGCCTCATTAGGTTGCTTCTCTGGAAATGAGAAATTTGCTTTAACTGCATTGTTTTGAATTGCTTGGGGAAGAATCCATCAACCACAAGGTGCCCTGCTGCTTAACTTGGCCAAAAAAATGTTAATAACTCCAGCAGATGTTCTGCTTTTTAGGCAACAGGACTCCCTTTCTCCCACCCCTTTTTTCAGAGTCAGACACAAGTATGGCTGAATTCCAGCATCCTCCACAGCTACTGCTAAAGCAAAATCCAATGTTAGCCAGTCACTGGTGATAAAACTTTAGTGCAAAAAGTCTGTGTGAGGGCAAAGCTTGGTCTCAGTACATTTACTCTGTTGAGCATTGTTATTATAGACAAGAAAACTTTCCTCTTGAGAAATACTGCAAGACCAGGCCCCGTACTTCCAAGTCTACACTTTTAAAAATGTTGATCTCGATTATCAATATGAAGAACCTGGCTCTCCTTACTTAGGTATTTTCTATTTTTGAGCACCCATTCATTCATTCATTCAAAAACTCTTTAATGAAAGAATGGGCTCTGTTATATTCTCAGCACGATATCATTCCCTTTCTTTTAGTTCCAGATGCTTTCGTGTCTTGGACTACACAGTTCTGCAGTACTGAGAATGTATCTTATAAATACTACTATATCTCAGTGCTGTACTTAAGCAAGCATTGACACTGCAGCATTCACTTCTTGTCAGCATCTCTATGCTGCTGTGAACCTGAGTTCTTAAATAAATCTCTGTTGTAGCCTTTTTTTTTCCTAATGAGAAGGACAAATTATGACAGAAAACGCTCTTTGTTTCCTTCTTCTTGAAGTACAGAGTTTTGCAGACATTCTTAAAGTAAGATGTAGTGACCAAGGTGATACAGGTGTCAACATATACATGGAAAAAATATGTTGAGCACTTCATATCCATAAACAAGGAAACAGTGTTTGGGTGTTTCAAGAAGAGCAAAATGAAAGACTGATTCATTATGTATTCTGCTGTTATTTAATTCAAAATAACATTGGTCTAGGATCTGCAGCACATCATTCACCAACTGTAGTATTTGGATGCAAAAGTGCTCATTTTATGTTATATACTGTCAAAGGTAAGGATTGTTAGTTTTTTTTGGATTCTCTTTCATACTCATTTTGAAACCTATGATTGCCAGCTAATTCTTGCTTGCCAAATGAAATAAGGCCCATGAATCTGTCAGAAAAGATGTTAACCCATAGAGGAGTACTTCTGGTGAGAATAGTAGTCTTAGTACCATAAAATGACTTTGTTGTCTTTTTTTCAGAAATGTCTGTTGAACATTGTCTTATGGTGCTCAATGCCATTAATACAAGAAGTCTCACGCAAATCAGTCTTTGCCACAGTTACACCAGGTGATGTTTCTGATCATAAAATTGAAAACAACAAAAAAAGTGCACAGCTGTAAATACCTCCTTTTTCTGTGCAATAGCAGGCATATTAGAGACAACTAAATGGCACAGTAGATCAAAAATATTGTTTTAGGCACATTCAGTTCCCTCCTTCATTTGCAGTGGTTACAAAAATATTTTGGGAAAAATGCTAGGAATAACCATAGCTAGGGAAAAACAGCATAAATACATATCGTATTCTGTTATGTGTGTCATATTTGGAGATTTAGTTATATCTGGAAGTTGAGATTTATTTATTTTTTTCTAAAAACATCTTTAAGCTTTGAGAAACAACAACTTACAATTTCTTTTCCAAGAGTACAAGTCCAACTTTTGAAGGAAATGGAATTACAGTTTCCGGACAAAATGTGAACCTCTAGTTATCAAACCACTTCTACCAGCTGGGAAGTATTGTCGTCATTTAAATTAAAGAACAGTTTCCAAGTTATTGTGGCAGAACAGCGGTAGCCTTATTTTATCAGCACACTTCTTGACACCAATTCAATGATACACACGTTTGCCTACAATCAAACATGTACTAAGAACCCAGAAATACAAAAGTTTTCACAGATCAGCTATGAATATTTCTTACATAAATCCATGCAATTTCATACATAATCCCAGAGGATTCAAAAGGCTATATGAGCACCTGCTATGTATCAGGAGCATCTTTGATCTTCTGTGGTAGTCTGCTTGCATTTAAAGCATGTCTTGTCTGTTTTCCTTATTTCAAATCAGATTAAATATAAAAACAGGCAAGTTTCAACACTTCCTTTTAACTCCGACCATTTCCACTATTTGCAGCATGTTACCTAGGAATATTTGAATTACAGGACATTACATGAATAGATAAGAGACTGGATTACAGAATCTAGAATCAATGAATCAAGTAATTTTGTCATATCAGAAAGGAAAAATTACATAATTTATTATTTTATGCTACTAACATTATGAACATCATATCAAAATTGGCATTAGTTCTTACATCATATGACGTAAGTGCAGTTCCTAAGATTGTATAGCAACTGTGAATCTTAAAAGAATATTGTGCTTTTATTTGAGCTGTATAGAAACTTTTTACACCAACATGAATTATAAAAAACAACAACAAAAACAAGCTCTACCATATCTATGCCAAGAAATCATGGGAATTTTCCAATAATTTTCCCATGCATTGTTTGGCTGTAGTTTGTAAGCTAGCACAAAGGCGTTGCTTAGAGAGATCATGTCTTTCCTGTCAGGACCTGTCACCATTTTCTGAACTGTGGATTTACTGTAAGCACATCTATGAGACAGAAAGGTGACTCTGAAGTATCAATTTCTTTATTCTTATTTTTAGAAAAATTGCATGAGTGTATTATACAAGCAGATGAATGAAAAAAAGAACGTTACAAGCACTTAGAATACACTTTTGGAGAATGTTAGGCCCTGCTCGCAGAAAAATGTTTGGATGGCACTAAATTCCTTTCTTTTTAAGAGGTCAAGCACAATTTTGTTGTATAAAATGGTACACATAATGGGATATATACTTTGATATATATATACTTTACATTCACTAGATACCATTCTTCCTCACAGAATACAAACCAGAAATATTTTTGTGATGCATTTCATGGTGTCTTCTCTTTATTGTGTATAATTCAAGGGACTTATCTGCATATATTCTGTAACATAGACCACTTCTCTACCATAGAGACCCCTGCTCTCATTCATGACAACAGTGTTGTCTCATTTCCTAAGAGCACTTTATACATCATCATCAATCCTGGCTGAAATCTACATATCAAGGGAATCTTTCCAAAGAAGCAACGTATTAGAGAGATGTTAATAAGAGACTGAAGTGCATTTGTCTGTGCACTTGTCTGAAACATGGCTATTTGTGACCTATGGCACTGTGTCATAAATGCACAACTTCTTAAGCATTCCTTTGTATTATCAAGTACTGTCATATAATCATTTAGGTTGGAAAAGACCTCCAGGATCATCACATCCAACCATTAACCTAGCACTACCAAGTCTACCACTGAACAATGTCCCTAAGTGCCACATCTACACATCTCCTGAAAACCCCCAGAGGTGGTGGCTCAACCACTTCCCTGTGCAGGCTGTTCCAATTCTTCATGATCCTTTCAGTGAAGAAATTTCTTCCAATATCCAAAGTAAACCTCCCCTGACACAACTTGAGGACATTTCCTTTTGTCCCATTGCCTGTTGTGGTTTATCCTGGCCAGCAGCTAAGCACCACACAGCCATTCACTCCCCCTCCCCCCTCCCTCTGGGATGGGGGAGAGAATCAGAAAGATGAAGCCTGTGGGTTGAGAAAGAGACAGTTTATTAGGACAGAAAGGAAAATAAGAAATAATAATGATAATAGCACTGCTAATACTGATGTGTACAAAACAAGTGATGCACAATGCAATTGCTCACCACCCGCTGACTGATGCCCAGCCTATTCCCGAGCAGCCGGCCCCCCGACCCCGCTATCCACCCCTATATATTGCTCAGCATGACCCCATACGGTATGGGATGCCCCTTTGGCTAGTTTGGGTCAGCTGTTCTGGGTCTGTCCCCTCCCAGCTCCTGCTGCACCCCCAGCCTGCCCTCTGGCAGGACAGAGCGAGAACCTGAAATGTCCTTGGCTTGTTGTAAGCACTGCTCTGCAACAATTAAAACAACAGTGTGATATCAAAATTATGTTCATCTTAAATCCAAAACGTAGCACCCTCACAGCTACTAGAAGGAAAATTAACTCTATCTTAGCTGAAACCAGGACACTGTTGCACAGGAGAAGAGACTGGCTCACACCTCACTACAACCTCCTTTCAGGTAGCTGTAGAGAGCAGTAAGGTCTCCCTGAATCCTTTTTTCTGCAGCCTAAAGAATTCCAGCTCCCTAAGCTCCTCCTCGTAAGACTTGTTCCTAGACCCTTCACCAGCTTTGTAGCCCTTCTTTAGACATGCTCCAACACCTTGATGTCCTTCTTGTAGTGAGGGGCCCAAAACTGAACACCATATTCAAGGTGCGTCCTCACCAGAGCCAAGTACAGGGAGACAATCACTTCCTTAGCCCTGCTGGGCACTCTATTTCTGACACAAACCAGGATGCTGTTGGCCTTCTTGGCCACCTGAGCACACTGCTGATTCACATTCAGCCAGCTATTGACCAATACCCCCAGGTCCCTTTCCACCATGAAACTTTCTATCCAAGTGCAGGCCCCAAGTGCAGGACCTGGCACTTAGCTTTGCTGAACTTCAGAGTTGGCCTCAGCCCATTGATCCAGCCTATCCAGACACCTCTGTAGAGCCTTCCTAACCTCAGGCAGATCAACACTTCTGCCCAGCTTGGTGCAGTCTGCAAACTTACTGAGGTGTACTTGATCCCCTTATCCAAATAATTGATAAAGATTTTAAAGAGAACTGGCCTCAGTACTCAGCCCTAGGGGACACCACTAATGACTGGCCTCCAACTGTATTTAACTCCATTCACCACAACTCTTTGGGCCTGGCCATCCAGCCAGTTCTTTACCCAGCAAAGCATACACCCATCCACGCCATAAGGAGCCAGTTTCTCCAGGAGAATGTTATGAGAAACAGTGTCAAAAGCTTTACTAAAGCCTAGGTAGACAACATTCACAGCCTTTCCTTCATCTATTGAGTGTGTCACCTTGTAGAAGATCAGGTTTGTCAAGCAGGACCTGACATTCATAAACCCATGCTGATTGGGCCGAATCACCTGGTTGCCCTGTAGGTGTCACGTGACGGCATTCAAGATGATCTGCTCCATAACCCTCCCCAGCATACAAGTCAGACTGACAGGCCTGGGTCCTCCTTCCAGCCCTTCTTGTAGATGGGCATCACATTTGCCAGCTTCCATTCAATTGGAAGTTCCCCTGACAGCCAGGACTGCCAATATATGATGGAAAGTGACTTGGTATGCACATACGTCAGCCTCCTCAATACCCTTGGGTGGATCCCATCTGGCCCTATAGACTTGTGTGCACCTAAGTGGTGTAGCAGGTCACTAATCTTTTCCTCTTGTATTACGGGTGTTTCATTCTCCTCCCTGTCCCTATCTTCCAGCACAGGGGGTTTGGAGAAGAACTGGTCTTACTAATAAAGTCTGAAGCAAAAAAGGTATTAAGTACCTCAGCCTTTTCCTTGTCCTTTTGTGTTCCCCCTCACATCCAATAAAGGATGGAAATTCTCCTTAGTCCTCCTTTTGCTACTGATGTATTTATAGAAGCATTTTTTATTGTCTTTAACGGCAGGAGACAGATTAATATCCAGCTGGGCTTTGGCCCTTCTAATTTCCTCCCTGCATAGCTTCATGACATCTTTGTAGTCCTCCTGAGTGGTCTGTCTCTTCTTCCAAAGGTCATGAACTTTTTTCTTCCTGAGTCCTACCTAAAGCTCTCTGTTCAGACAGGCCAACCTTCTAGCCTGCTGGCTGATCTCTAACACATGGTGATGAACTGCTCCTGCACCTTCAGAATTTTCTTCTGGAAGAGTGTCCAGCCTTTCTGGACTCCTTTGCCCTTCAGGACTGCATCCCAAGGAACTCCACCAACCAGCCTCCTTAACAGGCTGAAGTCTGCCCTCTGGAAGTCCAGGCTGGCATTTCTGCTAACCTCCCTCTTTACTTTTCCAAGAATCAAAAACTCTACTAACATGTGATTACTATGCCCAAGATGGCCTGCAACCTTCCACCCACAATTCCTTCTCTTTTAGCAAGCAAAAGATGCAGTGGTGCACCTTCTGTAGCTGGCTCATTCACCAGCTGTGTAATGAAGTTTGGACAACACTCGCAAAACATAGCTTAATTTTGGCATCGTCCTGTGTGTAGCCAGAAGTTCCAGTCATCCCATCCTTATGGGTCTCTTCCAATTCAAGATACTCTATCTCTCTGTGCTGCTTTAGGAAACTCCTAAACTGCTTCCTCTCTGCTGTATTGCTTTTGCAGCAGACATCTGGTAAGTTGAAGCATTCCAGTTAGAATGAGGGACAGCAACTGTGAAGCTCCTCCCAACTGCTTATAGAGTATTTCACCTACTTTTTCACCCTGCTTGTGTTGTCTATAACAGACTTCCTCCATGACATCTGCCTTGTTGGCCTTTGCCGATTTATACCCATAAACACTCAACCCTATCTTTACAATCATTAAGTTCAAGACAACCAAAACAATCTCTAACATACATAACATATCTCACCACCTCTCCTTCCTAGCCTATCCCTTCCAAAGAGTGTATAGCCATCCGTTGCAGCACTCCAGTTGTGCAGATCATCCCATTTCTGTGATGGCAACTTTCATAGTTTTCCTGCTGCACAACGACTCCAAGCTTTTCCTGTTTGTTGCCCATGCTGCATACAATGGTATTATTGCACTTCAGTTTGGCTAATGATCCCATCACCTTTTTGGGGGGAGAAGCCCTAATTCCAATGTGACCATTCTTAGGCACTTCTGTGATTTCTAACCCATCCATATGCCTCGTGTCTTTGCTGTTGCATGGTTCTCCATCACCTACTTCCGCTGGAATAGCAGACTGAAGGATCTTGCTAGCGCAGTGTCCTGCATCCATTGGCACACTGTACAAGGGTCATCTTTAGTAAGCCTGGTTTTATCCTTTCCCCACTTCAAATCTAGTTTAAAGCTCTTTCTTTGCGTCCTGCAGGGACATCCTTCATTGGGGGGTGGACCAGTAGAAAAGCTGTCTTGGTAAGGAAGTTGACTGGCTGCACATACGGCATGCTGGAGTTTATACTAACAGCTTAGTGCAAATTTCTGTCCCTAATGTCTTAGACAAGTTATAACAGGAAAACTTGGAGCATGACTCAGCTCTAGCTGCTGTGAAGGGAAATTAAACTTTTTTTTTTCTTGGTGAAGAAACACAAATAGAGTAGTGAAAAGCATATAAAATTATATATATATAATAATAGCATTAAGGTATTTTGTAAACTTACAACAGCAAGAAAACTCACATTCTCAAATTCCATCAACTTCAGACCTGAGTTGCAATAACCTACAGGTGTTTTCAAAACTTACACGCTCATTTTTAGTGAATAACATGATTCAACTTCCATTACAGAGAACCATGCAATACGATTTGCTTCCTTAATGACTTTATTTGTTGGTATCACTCTCTAGTGAAGGTTCTTCCACTTCAGGAGGGGAAAATGACCTCCACTGGCAGGACTAAATATAGGGTCTGTATCTTATTTGAAAAGTTTAATGCTGTATATTCAAATGAACTTTTGAAAAGCTCATTTAGCTCAGTTAAATCTCTCAGTGTAACCCTACTTCACTTAGTCTCCAAGCTGAAACACCTGCCAAGTGTTATATACTGCAAGCAATCACATCGACATCAATAGGACTGTCCTGTGTGAGCTGCAATTCTGCAAGGGCTTAAGTCTGAGGTGACACAATGACTTCCACCTGCAAATCCGGCTTGTTGGAGTAGCGTAGGATGAAGGGATTCAAACTGCAACAGAAATATCATCAAATGAGAATTTCAACCTTTTAAATGTAAGCTGCTGACTTCAGATGATAGTTTTGCTTCTCAGGGCATAGGGTAGGTTCATGACTCTAACAAGCACTACCTGTTTCAGTTATTTCTAAGACTGTCACTAATCAAAAGTTGAATTTTCTTTGCTTGTTTTGTGGGAAGTTATTTTTCAGCCTTGATAAAGTTTGCCAGCTTCAAGCCAAAGAGAAGCTCCCTTAAATTCTTACTTGCAAAGGAATTGAGGCAAAAACAAAACAAAACAACAGAACAACAACAACAAACCCAGCCTTACTGCAGTTCTTAATGCAATGGTCATAAAAACAGCACAGCAAATCTTGTTGCTAGACCAGGCCTCCAAGGATCCACACGGCAGGAATAGCAGACAACTCAGCCTTTCTCTGTGTTTAAGCTAAAAATGACTTTTCTAGCTTGAAAGAGTATTTAGAACAGATAAAGAGTTCTTCATGTATATTTTTTTTCCTTATTTTAGTAGATAAAAAAATACTTTCAGAACAAATAGTTCAGTGAAATAAATAAAAAATCCTTGCACTGATCATAACAATTATTTTCAATTATTTTGACTCGCCAGTAGAGTTCCAACACATGAGCATTTTCAGAAGAGAATATTTCAGGAAGGTTAGTTTTCTTTTTTTTTTTTTTTTTTGGTGGTTGCATGGATTTTTTTTTGAGGAGAATGTATTCTAAAATGAAGGTGAATCCTTCAAAAATTTGAAAAAGGTTGTAGGCATTGTCTTGGCTTTATTGTACAATCAAATGAAGTAACCTTGGAAATGCTTAGAAAATGAAAACAAGGTAGGTCTTAAGTAGAAGCAAGTCTGCTATTACAGTATTTCACCCTAAGCATGAAGAGATTTAAATATTTTTCTCTGCATTAGATCTGTGCATATTGCTCTTCTGATGGATCTGCAGTCAAGTGTGCCGCTGGTAAAAATCGCTGCTGGAGCTGCTATGACAGACATGCCAGTGTCTTGGAAAGATTTTATTAATTTTGTGCTCTTGGCTTTGTAAGAGGCATTAGAAGTGTTAAAGCAGAGTAGTCATTAAGATTACAGTTGAGACATGATTAATTATCCCCTCTCTGTCACCTCAGCTTGTCTGTCACCTTTCTCTCTGACCTGTTTCTTTTCTTCTTTCCCCAGCACTCTGTGGACCAGATTCTGATTGGTGACATCAGTGATGCTGAGATCAGAAATTGGCTCCTTGCCTCTATTTTTCCCTTGCCTTCCCTCTAATTTGCCTTTTTCTGTGCTTCTCTTCAAAGACTCTTTGCTGCAGCTCCCAGTGCTTTGCAGGTATCCTTGACTACAGCTCATATTCCCCAATCTCTGGCCAGCTGGAGCAGCTCCCTGGAATGATATAATATAGATCAAAGGCAGGTGGCCAATCAGCAAACGAGCAACTTGTTGGCACACAACAGAAGTGACTCAGCCACTGTTTGGTCCCTTCTTTTCAGTCTTAAATTTGGCCAAAAAGTAGTTGTGAATAGTGGATCTTAACAACAGTGGATTGTGAGTGATGGTGAAATGTACCAATTGAAAACAAAAACTGGCTTTTATGGGACAGGATATAGTCACAGATTTACCCAATCAGCAATCTACCTCTGAGGCAAAACTAGCACAGCGTAAAACTGTAGTGGATTTGTTATGTGTTTTGGAGAAGGAATCAAAATTGGTTTGTTTTACAAAGTTCTGTGATAGGAGAATTTTCATGGGATAGGAAAGAACATTGCAAAGTATCTTAATGAACCTTTAAAGATGTTCATTATATAATACTACAGCTGCAGCATGAGGTTTGTATTTATAACCCATCTTGAGTATGTTCTAGGCATAAAACCGTAGATGCATGTGATTTGAACACATTTATAGAGTGCTGTTTATATTTGAAATAGAAGAAAAACCTCCTACAAACATTTCCACCTCTGGGAAGTTACACAAGTTGTTACAAGGATAAGATAAGTCACTTTATTTTCACTGTGTATTCTGGAAAGGCTTGATTTTTGAAGAAGTGTTTACTAAATGGAAGTGAATTTAAAAACAAAAGTTTTTAAATATACCTGTCGTAATTCCTGTTGAAGGTGGTTGTTCCATATAATACCTTGTAAATACCTCTTTTCTTGCCATTAGGTAATTCATGCAACTCAAGGAGCTACGTGGGGAAATTTAGCATGTAAACAAAAACTCAACACTACAAGTTAGATCACAGGATAAAGGATTGAACTCTGTGTGCCATACATATCTCTGCCAGTAGCATATTCCTTCTTTTGGGTAATCAGATACAGTGCTTTCATAGTAGGGATTGTCTGTCTTGCAATAACTTGGGTGCTTGGCCAAATTACACTAGTAAAAAGCTTCAGTGCTGTGGCATGCTGAGTCCGAAAAAAAGAAATGAACAAGAAAAAATGTGTTAATATGTGCTGTACAGTTCCAGCACCCTTTGGCATGAATTTGCTTTCTGTTATTTAAATTCAAAATGAAAGGATTTCCAAAGAGAGACAAACCCAGATCAAATATGTGTGCATTCAAAAACAGAGCAGGAAAGGTTCCACCCATGACATCTCAAGTCCCATCTGTACAATTATTTTTGTTTGCTAATTTATGAAATCAGTGCTTTGATTTTCCTGAGGGTCTCTATCAAAGGCTGGTCATTAGACAGCATGACACAAAAAACAGTATACTTGCAGACATTCACTCCTGTCTGTTTGATCTGTGGCTTGTAAAAGTCTTTTGCAGGGCTTGTATTAACTATTACAGTCCTTTTCACAACAAAGTTTCTACTCATCAGCATCTGCTAATAGCCAGAATAGTTCTTGGGTCCAATGATTCCACAATGGAAAAGAAACTATGCACTATCCATGGGATAACGCTGCCTGGAAAATGACACTTTCTTAGTGGCTGAAATTTGAGATCTCTAAAGGCTGACTTTCTGGTTCCTCAGTTCAGCTTTAACCTCTCCAGTATCGCAGAACTGCTAAAGTTCTTGTTCCTTAAATTAGTTTAGTTACCACCACTTTAAGTGTACTAGAATATAATTGAAGTAGTGTGAGTCAAGGTAGCATGTTAGGCGGGTGATTGTTTACAATCTCTATGCAATCTGCATTATCTCTGAGATCATCCTCTAACCAACTATGGTCACAGCTGCTTCCATATGAAATCACTTTTGTAGGATGTTCCAAAGCTATCTATCAGATGAAGAGAGAGTAATTTCTTTCCTCTGCGTTTCCACACGGCCTTGTGTTCTTTCTTCCCCTCTCCCCCTTTCCTTTTTTCCTCTAGTTAAATTATTTAATTAATAATAATTTTCCCTTAATAATTATTTTTCCTTTAATTAAATTATCCTTATCTCAACCCATGAATTATTTCTTTCCTTTCCTTCCTCCCCTCCTCTTATGAGGAGGGGGAGTAAGAGTGTGGTTGTGGTGGAGTTCAGCTGCCTAGCAAGGTAAAAAAGCTGTAACAGCCATGAAGAGGCAAAAGGACTAACTCAAGACAACTGGTCTTCTCACTAGCTGCCAGGAATCTCTATTTCATGTTTCTTGGCCTGAATTTTCTCCCACAGATTAAGCTGTTTTTTGTTTGTTGTCATTTGTTTGTTTTTTGTTTTTGCATTTTCTCTCTGTCATTGTTACCCCCTCTTGTGCTTCTGCTAATACTCATTGTCTTTCCTCTGTTCTTCTCTCAGATGTACAAATCTCCATTTTTCTTCCAGGCACACCATGCATACTAACTCAGAACTGAGAAGTCATCTATCAGGTGTCAGGTTCATTTGTATATTTGAGGGTATATTTACAAAAAAAATTAAAAAAAAAAAAGTGTGCATGTGGAGAACAGAAATGAGATTCAGAACAGGACAGAGAATGGGCATTTAGAAGGAGCAATGTTCTCTATGGGGATCCTTCATCCTTCAGAATGGCCAAACTTTTGCAGGTTTGGTGGGTGACAGAACAGGGAGGGGTGAATAGTTATGGATACATTAATAATGCTGATAATGTTGCCTTGTCTCAAAGATGAGGTCTGGCAGAGTAAAATGGTCCCATGCTCTGTGAATGTTATCCTCTGTGGGCCTTGACTACACTGCAGTGGAACACACTTTCTCCACTGTATTTGGGTTGCTCCTCAATAGTCCATAAGTTTTTAACAACTTTGTTCTCAAGATACCCATGGGTTGAAAAGGGTTGTGCTCCTATTGACCTTATTTATGCATATGGTCTGATCAATTCCTTCCGAAGATCTTTAGCTGGTGACAGATACACGTTTGTGGGTCTGCTGTGCATCTTTAATAGCTAGAAGTCTGTCCAACCAACTAATTAAGTGGGCAATTCCTATCATATGTTTGGGACGGTTTCAGAATCAAATATGCTGCTGGTACATATAGGGTTAACAGTTGGGATCTGTCCTGTATAAGGATTTGTGCCACGCCTTTGCTCTTAGGGCTTGTGAAGTAAAGCCCTCTATTAAGTGGCTTCAGAGGCATGGACAGTTGTGCATTCTCTTTGATTTTGGATTACTCCAAATTTAGTTCCTTCCTAGGTTCTGAAATCCAGCCTGTTTGGAGTGTTGCAGGTGAAAGGGACAACCTTTTGGCTCAGACACAATAGGCAGCAACTTAGAACAGTAGACTACCTGCTTTGCCTGCACTAAGATGACAATAATCAGCTGCCTCAGCAGCCTCTACAACCAGAAGAGTCAGTTTTTACTTCCTACTTGCATAAGCTTGGCAGCTGAGAAAGAAGTTGAGAGATGCAAGGCAGCAGCAGAAACAAATATTAACAACACAAGTAGTGAGTCCTTTTCTTCCAGCTATGCCACACAAAGACAAAAGAGGTGGCAAGCTTAGTCCCTTCTGAGCAGCCTGCTGTACGCAGGACAGTAGCTTTCTGTAGCACGAGTGATGCAGGAAGACCAACTGAAAGAGCTATCTGTAGCCACAACTTACATCAGTTACTCCTGTTGTAATAACTTCTTCTGATCACTGTCCATCAAGTGGGAGGAGAAGGTTATGATCATAAATCTGAATTTATTAATATACAATAATGCACCACTCCCTCCCTCCTCCTCTCCTCAACCCCAGCCACCTTTTTTAAAGTTTTAAGTACAAACAATATAGCTCTACTTCTTTATTGCGGTGCAGGATAATGATTGATTTGCAAGAGATTTCTAGAGATTTCCATGTCTTTTTATGCCTCTTTCAGGCTCTATGTAACTGCATCTCCAATTACACTGTCACTAGACTTCTTTATTTTCTTATTACTTCCCTTACGAGTAGAGCTGTATTAGCATATTTTTTGTAAATGGTACTACTTCAGTTTCCTTGTTCCTGGGACTCTTTTACACAACAGCCTCGTACTAGTTTCCACTTATCTTTTAAATGTGATCTTATTTCTTTTGTTACTGCGGGGACAGTTGTCTTATCACTCTTCTACCTCAGACTGCTTGTATTTACCCACTCATAAATTTGTCTTCTTCCTTGGTAATTATTCTCAGGGTCCAGAACCAGTCTTATTAGCAAAAGTTCAGAAGTTCACTGGCAAAATGCAGGTTCTCTAACTTACTAAGAAGCTTTCCAAAAAGCATAATCATGAAGTTTCATACAATTACACGCCTGTGCTGCTTATCTGTCTATATATCACTCTTCGTAGCGTAGATCATTAAATGCTGCTAATATGCATGAGCTGAAACTTAGCACACGTTTCTACCATAGCCTTACTTGTTCATCAAAAATTAGTTGCTTCTGTGAGCTGCCAGATTCCAACCTTTCTGATTGATGATTTTTCATAGTACCAAGCCCAGTCAAGAGGCAGATGGCAAGAGAGGCAAAAGGTGCACAACTATAGTTCTTATTTTTATCATGAGCATGTATCAGAATGAATGGTGTCAATACTGTGGTAGAGGAATGTGTGTCTGACATCCCTAGAAAAATCCATTTATCTTGCTAAATAGCAGGTAAAACAAAAGGCCAGTAAATAATACAGGTAACCATTAACAAAATTGTGGACATTATTGACAACATAATAATGACACATCTACAGTTTTATCCTCTAAAATACCAATAGAAGGCTCTTAGTAACCAAGGAGCTTAAGCTCACCTAGCTCATCAACCTCCCTGAAGTGGAATCATTCTGCTTTTGAAAGCTTCTAACCAGAGATGATGCATTTAAACGCACCCCTTTATACTGACTGAAATTAGGAAGTCCACTAGATTTAATTCTCTGAGTGACAAGCATCTTTCTAGTACAAACCAGCTGTCGCCTGATGGTCTATTTTCATTGATACTGTCATCTTCTAGACTGAACGAATTAATCCTAAGGTTTAATACCTACCTATTTTTTCCTAAGTATTATTATGTCAAGATTTCTTGGCCTCCTTTTCAATTTCTTACAGTAATAGCTTTCAAATACTTTAATGTCCTCTAAAAGTCTTCATGACCCTGAAAACCACCTCAGATAACAAATGATAACAAAATTTTTCCCTGATTTTTTTCTTCCCTTGGGAGGGGCCTCCCATTTACAGTTCTTAGATTATTGCTCATAGCAGGTTGATCCATGTACATTGTATAGAAGAAAAAAATACTCATTAAAGCCAGTGGACAGAGGAGTCCTACTTATTTTTAGGTAGTGGAAGAACTGTCAGAAATTAAGAAGAGTTGCCTAACCACATCAGTTGTATAGAAAGTAAAGGAAGTGAAAAAAAAATCCATTCAGTTTCTTGACAGATTCTAATAGAATGTTTGAAAACTACATGTAATCAGCCTGTTACCAGAACATAACTCCTGCGTATATTTCTCAGAAATGGGTTATCTTCAGTGGTTCAAAGTAAGTATCCAGTTCTGCTCCTTTACTCACACACATAGAAAAAGCACAAAAAAAAAAAAAAAAAAAGTTAAAAAATCAAGTGTAACTCTATTAACAGTTTTTCATTAAAACATAGATTGGATGTTTTTCTGTCTTTGAAACAAAGCTCGAGGCTGGGTTTGAGATGGTTAACAGTTTTTAACTGACAGAGGCTCTTATGTCTTACAAATGAAACAGGTGGACCATAAACAATGTTTTGAATGTGATAATGTTCTCTCACATTCTACTTGAGGGTTACAGAGTGCTCAGAAAGAGATGTAGGGCTCTGACTCACAAGCATTGCATAAAGCTGCTGCAGCAGTTAAAGACATTACTAACACAGGCTGTTCTGCCTATTGCCAGCCAGGACAATAGTGTCCCGGCCACTGTGATGTAAAGTCTCTGTATATTTTCAATTCAACAAAAGTGCAGGGTGACTTTGTAGAATGGGCAGTAATAGACTTTTTTTCTCTTTTAGGTCAGGCAACACTACCACCCTTTCATGTTCTTTTAAAGCAAATTTTTACCTCTGAAACTTGCATGTCTACTCATTTTCTTTTTTTTGGCATACACATCCACTTCTATGCTACACTTCCGCAGCTGGGAACCTATTTAAGTCCACCTGCAGGCAGACAAATCCCTAACCAATCCTCAGAAAAAGCTCCTCTTCCATATCTTTGTATGACATATGCATCCTGCTCCACACCCCTACGCATGCACAATGCCCCATGTCAGAAATCACCACTTCACTGCTTTGGCTCAAAAGCAGTGTCATGTCCACACCTCAGCTATTGCAGGCTACATTAGGACAGCAGGGTCAAGACTCTGCCAGTCGCTCTTGTTCACAAACATTTAAGACCTGAGCAGGCCAACTCCAGGAACATGCTCTTCATTCCTGACTCTACACCAAGTGCTGGTAATGGGGCTGATGGTAGTGGGGAAAGAAAGCTAGTCAATGAAGTAGTACTATATTAAACTATTTTGTATGCATCAACTAGAATTTGTGTCAGAGCTGTGGAAAACAACAGAGAGCAGTATTTGTGCCTACTGGAACTTAGAAGAGCCTAGTAGTTTCTCACAGGAGGTATCTAGCAAAGCTTCAAGTACAGTCTCATTTGAGTCTCTGAGTGTTCTCACTGCTGAGTCTCATGCTGAGTCTCACTTCCAGCCTTTTCTGTATTTATATGTAGTTCCTGGAATTAATAAATGCAACATTTTCCAAAGTAGGAAGACAATGTGTAGCTACAGCCTTTTTGAGAACTAACTGTTCAGCTAACTGCTCTCTCAGCTGTATCACTTAATGCTTGTTGCATGAGACAAGTTGCACAGTAAGTATCACTGTCACTATCCCACCTTGACTTTTCCAAGCACATCACAATGACTTACACAAGTAAGTAACTCAGGGAGATTAAAATGTCTTGTAATAAAATAGCACTTCACAAATTCTAGTTTAACAAGCAAACTGTCCACTGAAGGCGATGGTAAAGGATAAACAGTCTATAATTCTCAGAGACATCAGGCAAAGTCACGCAGCAACGAATACAAAACCTATGCAAGGTAAGGTAGGAGAATCTACCTGTGACCCATTGGGAACACATGAACAGTTGACCAATTCATTAAGTTTTCTTAAATCACCCCACAGATCTTTTTAATGTCGCTGACTTAACTAAAATATATGATTTTCAGGAGACCTAAATGACTTAATAATCCCTTCTATGAATTCTTATTTATGCATGGATGTCCCTTTCTGGATTCAGCTGCTTTCATTTATGGGTGCCCTGTATGTGGTTCCACAGAGAATGATTTATTTTGTCTTTAAGACCAACTGACTACAGCTAAACAGAAACAAATTATTTTCCCACCCTAACCTGAGTCTGAACACTAAATTAGGAAAAGTCCATATGTTGATAAGGCCAGTATATTCTAGCTCAAATCCAGCTATGTGTCTTTTATCATATACCTTCTTTATCAAGCAGCCATATTTCATTTTCATGCAACTAATATACTGAGGAACAAGTATAAATATAAAATAAAAGCATTTTGGATCCTGCTTATCTATAGATGTTGAAAATGAGCTCATAAATGAGCATGAACAGAACAACCTTAAGCCTGTATCTTGCTAAATAGTCGCACAGCTTGCACATCCCAGGTCTGTTTTTTGCCTTTGGACTGTCTAATCAGTTTGTGAATAACTGAGCATGTAGCTGCCACTGACACAGGGAAATCGTTTTCACACTACATATGACAAAACTGCCCTTGTGTGTTGTAAATATAATTACCAAAATACTGAAGCAATTCTCTCAACTTCCCTCCTTAACCTTCTGTCCCATTTTCTGTTTGAGTTTCTTTTATTGCCATACCCACTGGGTTGATTTTTGGTAAAATGCATTTTGAGATACAAAGACTCATCAGAAGTTCTTGGACTTGTCTCAAAAGTTCCACCCTGAGGTAGGAGGGAATCTCAGATTAACATTCTAATATTTGATAGAGAATAGACTTTTGTATATAAAATAGACTTTCCTACCTGGAGAGAAACTAGAAGAGTTCAATAAAATCAGGCATGAGGTAATACTCTTGTGAAACACAAATGCAAAGCTGGGCCTACCTGGTTAGGAAGAAAAATGTTGACCTGAAGAAAAAGCAAGGAAAGAAGCAAGATCAACACTAACATTTGCTTCTCCTCTCCCTTAGAACAAGAAACAAGACCAAACTCTGGAAATTTGTGGGCTACAAAACAGGAACATAAATGGAGTATCACTGCAAGTCACTTCACCTTTCTCACACACAAATATATTGTTTTGGAATGCATTCAGAAACACTCCTTAGACAAAGGACATTAATTATTCCCTTCCATTTAGACCTGAGAAGATCTCAGCTTAATATTATCTTTTGGACATCACACTCTTAGAAATATACCTGGAGAGTTTAAAGTTGATGAAGATGCTTTGAAAGAGACTCTCTCTCTTTTAAAATATGAGGAAAGCTTGATGAACACTTGTGTCCAGGAAAAACAAACAAAACAAACAATAACACTGAAAAACACAAAACAAAGAAACAAACAAACCAAACCAAAAAAAAAAAAAAAAGAGAGAGAGAAAAAGGGCAAAGTACCAAGCACATTCGTGAAAGTTATTTTAGAATTGAAATTATACTTTTAAATTAGGGAACCACAGCATCTTCCATATGAGAAGGAAAACTTCTAACTAGATCTAATCAATTGCTTTGTTGCCAGGATGCACCATTCTAATGGAATCTGTCACACTCGTAGTATTACATACCACAGATCAATAGATGGGTAAAGTAGAATATCCTTCCCTTCAGGATTCACATGCTTCAAGAAATAATTTTCAATGCACAATGGCTAGGACATGAGAAGATTTTTGCAGAGAGCACACGTAAAACCGACGCTTTCCATGGTTTCTTACATCACTGATTTACCTCATCACAGCATTTGCCTTGACTCCTTAACCAAACAAGCAAGAAAACCACCAAAAAGGCTATTTCTTTTAATCTGGGGTAACTCAGACACATGAATTAACTTGATGTAAAACATCAGACATTTCCACCTTACCACAGCAAACTCATGGAGGTCATAAGACATGTCCCCACGTGATGATGATCTCAACAAACTGAACTCACTGCAAAGCTGAATTATCTTGCCTTCATCCCATTTCCACCTTTGAACTCTTCCATTAAAGTTCGGAGCAGCATGCTTTTTCTCATTGCTTTTTGGGGTGAACACAGTCCACCAAACCAGCAGTCAACATTATCATACAATCATAAAATCATAGAATAGCTCGGGTTGGAAGGGATCTTAGAGATCACACAGTTCCAACCCCCCTGCCATAGGCAGGGACACCTGCCACTAGATCAGGTTGCCCAGGGCCCCATCCAGCCTGGCCCTGAACGCCTCCAGGGATGGGGCATCCACAGCTTCTCTGGGCAACCTGTTTAGAAAAGTTCCCCGTTATCAGAAAAGTAAGGTAAGGTAAAGGTAATCAGAAAGGCAGTTTCCCTAAGACAAGTCTTGAGTTTTCTAATTTCCTGGGATATGTTAAAAAATACAAATAATACAAAGAAAAATAATTTATTGTTCGTAATTATACAGAAACCTTAGCATGAAGCTATCCTCACAGAATACTTGAGCTGAAATTTCACTATCCCCCTAACCTCAGCAACTGGTTTTTTGCTGGGAACTAACTGAGGCACTAAAAAACATTCCTTTCTGCCATTTCTTCTGCAGTGGCTGTAATCTCTGGCAGAGAGAGAAATACCACCACGAACTGCTGCAGCAAAGATTCTTTTGAGGTGTTATGGTGAGGCTGCTGCAACTATCTGCAACTCCCTAATGGCAATGACCCGCCCTCGCTTTTTTTTCTTCTCCTTTTGCTAAGCAAGGCTAATCAGTGGAAAGCTAACTCAGCCTTTAGCATGTTGTCATTTACTATATTTGCACATTTTCTGTTCTTGAAGCTTCTGCTATAGCAGGTAAAAAAAACTTACTGATACATCGATTTCAGTAAATTGGTATGAAGAATAAAGAAAAGAACCTCTTGATTTTATTAAAAAGAACCCTTTTGCTTTTATTAGCATAATTTTTCTGAAAACGTGAACTACATTGCTTCATCTCCAGGAACGGATTGCAACTTACAGTTGAAGACAAAGCTTAAACTAATATCCTAAATTAGTCACGGATCAAAAGTTTTAGATGACGATATTTCCTACTTTGCAGATGCAGATTTGAATGCTTCCATTTCCTTGATTCTGTTCGCAGATAAATGTGTTCTGCACGGCCAACAACGAACACAACACCGAGCACGCCGCCCTCGATGCCTTATTTTCGGGACACGCGGTGCTGCCCAGCGCCAGCACCAGTTGTTTCGCGCTGCTACCTGTCAGCATTTGGGCGGCCACCTTACACAGCGAACACGATGAGCGATCAGATTGTAACACTGCGGTGAAGTATAGAAAAAGAGTAGAGGAAAAATAATTTAAAAAAGCACTGTATGCGTTAGAAGTGGGCGATTATAGTTTATGTTATGCAAGTAAAAAAGTGTGAAACAGCATACAGACATGGCACACTCGTCAGTTAGCGGCCAGAAGCTGCCTCTGGTGCCCCCAAGCCCTGGCGGCTAACTCGGGCGGTGTCCGACACGCCCGGGCGGTGCCCGGCGTTACCGAGTACCTTCTCCTTAACGCCAGCCGCGGCCGCAGCAGCGACCCCCCCGCGAAGCGGCCACGCTCCCTCCTCCGCGGCAGGCTCCCTCCGCACGCCGCGCCCGGCGGCTTCTCTCTTAATTTCTGCCCCGGGTTTTGGCCTCGGAAGCTCTGAGGCGCTTCCAGCACCTTCCTCACCGCCGCCTCACGGAGGCCGCGGCCGCCCCACTCCAGCTCCGCTCGGCGCGCGGGGCCCCGGCCGGGCAGCCCCAACCGCCGCCGCGCCGCGCAGCCCCTCTCCCCCGCGCTGAGCGACAGGCGGCCGCAGCCAATAGGCGCGCTCCTTTCGGCGGGGGGGCGGGCGTCCCGCTGCAGGCGGGCCAATGGGCGCGGCGCTTCCCGAGCGGCGGAGATGGGGGGGGGGCGGCCGTGAGTGTGTGGGCGGGGCGGCGGCGAGGAAGAGGAGGGCCCGGCTGTCACCGTGCAGTCATGCTGGCCGCATAGCCCCTCGCCCGCTCCCCCGGCACAGCACGGCGGCGGCGGCAGGCAGCGGGCGGCTCCCGGCGCGGCGCTGCTCCCTCTCGTGAAGGCGGCCCGGAGGCTGAGGGTGAGGCGCACGTCCCGGCAGCGCGGCCCCGCTGCCTGCCTTCCCCCCCCCCCACCTCCCTCCTTTCCCCTCCCTTCTCCTCCGCCTTCCCCCGGCGGCCAGCCCGCCCGCCCGCCCGCCGCCCTCCGCCCCGCTGTCTGCGCCCCCGCGTTGTGGGTGGGGAGAAGAAAGTTTTGATCCGGCGTTTCTGGAATCATCATCGCGCCCGGCGCCGGCGGAGGGGGAGGCAGGAGGCGGCCGGCTTGTGAGTCAGCCGCAGCGGCGGGGCGCCGGGGAGGGGTGAGGATGGGGAGGGGGGGTGGGGGGGGAGGCCGCTGCTGCCGCCGCCGCCAAGGCAGCAGCCGGCTCGGGGCGCCGGGACGGCAGCAAGGGGCCGGGGGAGCCGGGGGCGGCCTCGCCCGCTTGTCCCCGCCCCTGCCCCGCCGCGGCTGTTGTTGTGGCGGCCGTGAAGTTGGGGCTGTCCTGCTGGGGGCGGCCGGGGCTGTGCTCCGCCGGGGCACCTCCTGGCAGGGCACGGCACGGCACGGGGAAGGGGAAGCGGGGAGGTGGGGTAAGGCCGGCGGGGGTAGCGGCGGCGCTACCCGGCGGAGCCGGCTCGGGAGGCCGTGATCCGGATCATCTGCCCGGCTGCCTGTCAGCAGCAGCGCAGCGGGGGGGGGGGGGGGGGGGGAGCAGGGGGAGGCTGCGCCTCCTGTTGCCTCCAGCCGCTGCCTGTAGCCGTGCAGTCGCGCCCGCTGTGGAGGTGTCGCGATTCACTTCCCGAAATAGCCCGTCTCCCCCCCGCTCCCCTCCCCTCCCAGCCCCGTTCTCCCTGCAGAAACCGTGCCTGGCCCCCCCTCCATTCCCCCCCCCCCCCCCGCCCTGCAGCAGGCGGCGAAGCGGAGTAGCACAAAACATGCGCTTGCAATTTTGTAATCGCCTTCCAAGCGAAAAGCGTTTTATTTCCGGTGTGCGCGGAAATTTATTTATTTATTTTTTTTATTTTTTTTTTTTTTATTTAACGATCAGGCCGGGGCGGGAGCGAGGAGGATGCGTGTTAAGGCGCTCGGATCCCCAGGTAGCGGCGGCTGCTCTGCGGTGTGTGTGTGCGTTTGGGGGGGGCGGGGGGGGGCCGTGAAAAGTTCTCTGCCCGGCCGGCGGCGGCGGGGGCCGGCCGGGGGGGTGGTGAGGAAGGAGGGCGGCGGGGAGAGCCCGTCCCCGGGCCTCCGCGGGGGGAGAGGGAGGCGGCGGCGGAGGGTGGCGAGGCCGCCTCAGGCAGGCGGGCGGGCGGGCAGGCAGGCGGCAGCGCCGGGCCGCCGTGACATGGTGGCGGGCCCGGCCCGGCCCTGAGGCGCTCCCCGGCGGCGGCTGCTCGCCCGCCGCGTCCCCGAGGTCCGGCCCCGCCGGCCGGGGAGAAAACTTTGCGGCGAGGCCGGAGGGGGCGAGCGGGGGCGGCGAGAGGCGCCCGCCCGAGGCCTAACGCGGCGCCCGGCGGGGCCGGAAGACCCGCGCGGCGCTGCCGAGGCCGCCCGTGACGGGCCCGCCCGTAACGGCCGCAGCGGCCCCTCCGTGGCGGGCCCCGCGGGCGGGCGGCCGGGCCCGTTTCGGGGCCCCCAGCCCTGCCCTCCTGCCTGCGTCCCCCCGCGGGGAAAGTTGCGGCGCTGCCTCTTCCCCTCCCCCCCCCTCCAAGTTGTGCCGCGGTTGTTGAAGGAGCCGTGGGGTGTTTTTTGGTGTTTTTTTTTTTTTTTGTTCGCCCTCGCTGCTGGAGCGCCTCGCGTGGGGCGGGCGGCGCGGCCGAGCATCGGTGTGGCGGCACGGGGCGCGCCGAAGTTCATTCCGCTCCGCGGCTGTTGTTTGTTGCTGGCACTCGGCGCTCCGGCGAGCCCCGCTCTTTTCTAAGGTGCCTTTTTAATGAGTATCTTACGCAGGTGAGTAAGTAGCCGACTGAAGCAACAAAACTATAGCGCATTTAGTTCTTCCAGCATTTCCAGCGCTGTGCATGCTTTCTGTGAAATATAGTATCTACGACACTGCATTGTTTCATCGGTGTTCTCTTTTGTTTCGTTTTCCATTTCTTCAGCGTTACTTAATTTTACCCACGGCTCCTGTGACACGTACAAATAAACGTTGTATCGGAATTAAATTCCTTTAGTAGTGTACCAGTTACATGTTCGAGGTCTCTTCTGTGTAAGCTAGGGTATTGTTATGCAAATGAAGGCACACTTTCTCTTTGGGAGCCTAATTGCCCTATTACTTACTGTCTTTGACTTTGTTTCTTTTGTCCCTTTGTTATTCTAAGGAAAAAATGATGTAGCAGAACGATAGGAGTGAAGGTAGTTTTTCATGCGCATGTGTCAGCAGTAGAAAGCAAAAAGATCGAGTAATGAGCATTTTAAAATAAATCCCAAGTTAGCGTGTCATACGGCACATGTGGACTTGACAGAGGTGAAGGTAAAGCTTCATTAAATACAGTATTTCTCTCATGAGTTATGTCTCAGCTTTAGGACTGGTATTTCTGTGGTGTTTCACAGAACATATGCGCCAGAAGAGCGTGTTCAAAGCAGTCTTAGATCTTTTCTTTTGTTCATTTCTGAAGTGGTCTGTGAGCATTTCTTGTGAAGTTTGAAAAACGCTTTGACCAACACCTAAGGCTTGAAGTTGACAAGACGAAAAAGTGCTCCAGGTAGCATTCTTATATTAAATACATTTTTGACAAAGGTGTATATGAAATTAATATCTACAGATGTATTTTCTCAGTTTTTGTCAGACTTTGAAGTTAGGGTTACAATCAATGTGCACAGTAGCAACTTTAAAAAATACGCACTTCTTCCACCAATTGTCATGGTCCTGATTAGTAATATTGGTGTGAACTAGTGATCCTTTTCAGAAGGAGCCTTTTTGTTCTACATGTGAATGAAAACATTTTTTGCAAATCATTCATTAAAATACTTATTTTCTGTGTGCACGTGTTTCTGCTGCAGTTGAAGTTCTCTTTCTATAAAGTGTTTCCTGGACATTCTTGTCTTTTGCACTATATCAATTTTTGTTTTTTGTTTTTTTGTTTTATCTTCTAGTGGAGTAGTAAATACAACATTATGACATAAAGATCACTTGTAATGCAAATGACAGCAGAGAAAAGCTTTTGTCTTATTTGCAAGAAAGTAAGGAAGGATGATTCAGGGGAAGAAGGAAGTCCTTTAAACATTGCTTCAGTAATTTACAAGTACAGCAGGGTAAAAAGATTAAGACTGAAAATTATTATTATTTTTTTTTTCCTAGCGCATTTTAAGTCAATTCTTGTGGTTAAATGTTTTGTTCTTTGCCTCCACTTCATAGAGAACATTTCTCTTGAACTACTGTAGGGTTTGAGTACCCAGGTGAATCATTTGGGACCTTTAACAAATATGTTAAGAATGTTTGTTGTTACGAAAATGATACCTTTGCCTCATTTTCACTGACATTTTACCTAAAGTAACTTGTATTAAGAACTATCTTCTTCCTTATTCCTGTTTTTTCCCCCCCTCTAATTAAAGACAAGGCCTGTCAGTAATGAATTCCTTTGCCTCTGCCTACCTCTAATCGTGGCTTTTGTTTTTCAGAATCTAATGTGAAGATGATGTTGAATTACTGTGATTAATACTTGTAGAAAAGGCCACTGTATGGAATCTTAATCTGTAATCAGTCAGCGCTGTCGTGAGTCAGTTTTCTGTGCCCTAAGTACACAATAGAATCTACATACACAGCAAACATGTGTTTGATCTTGGGCACTGACAGACTGTCAGTGGTGAATATAGCTACAGGGTTAAAAGGCAATTCCTTAAACTTCCAACTCTGTCTGCCCTCCAGATTTCCTGAAAGCTATTGCCTTCTGCAGCAGGAGCAACAGAAGGGGTCATGTGTATATTCCTTTCCACCTTCATTGAAGTCTGGTGTCGTAGCTTAAACCAACTTCTGTGAGCTCTTGGTTTAGGATGACTTCTTTGTGACTGGCTGTAGTATATGTTCAACCCCCAGCTGTTAGCCAGTCATTTCCTGGTGCTGATTTTAGTTTTTTGGAAGAGGATAGGCTATGAGTTCAAATAATTCAGAAGTTGCTTTATGGGAAACTTAAACAACTACACAATAGAAATAGGAATTTCTGCAAGAGGATGCAGACAGTCTTCGGTAGACAGCTAACCATGAAGATCAGGCAGCGTCCAGAGGTTTTTATCTCTAACTTAAGTATCTGGATAAGCAATTAAGTTGCAATAGTTCTGATTCTGTGGTTTGTTGTTCAGACTGTGAGTTCCCTTCCAGAAGATTTTGAAGTTACAGTGAAGTTAATGCACCTGAGTATGCAAAGGCAGGATCTTTCAGCAGTGAGTGTGTATTACTTCTCTTATGTGAGCTGAGTAACTATGTTAGTAGGAGACTCAACTCTTCCCTGTTACTGATTTTACATTGTTACATGTACACCTACAGTTCACTGATTGAACATTGATGAAATGACAGTGGTTAAATCCTGATAAATGCTACTCCAGTGTCCTGTGAGGTTGTAAAACACTGAGTTGCTTCTAAAGATTTTAAGTCGTTTGTTTTAATTATAATGGATTACTGTCATTATTTATCTGTTCTTAAACTTTGAGCATCTTCATTAGATTATGGTTAGCAGAGCAGGCAAACACTGAACCATTAGCAGTATCATTTCGTGTTTTGTACAGTATTATAATGCAGATAACTCCA